TATCAGAACACATGAAAGACAGAATCAGTGTGTCACAAGCCAGTTCAATAAATATAAAAAGCCTGGATCTAAGACTTACTTTTATGGAACATGATGAAACCAGAAGCTGAACAGAAAGACCAGCACAGCAGCTGGCAAGACACAAGACAAGCACCTTAACCCCCCTCATTGACTCCAAAACCTCACTTGTTAAAGACTAAAGCTGCCCTTAGCCCCAGAGCAAAGCTGAATCTGCAGAGCTCTCTGCAGAGCCATCCTGCTGGCACAAGCACAAGCCTTCTAGATTTACACTGTGCCCAGCAGGCTGGGCTCAAAAAGCCAAGGAAAACTTTCATCTGATCTTTCATCTATCTCTGAACTTCCAGAAGCACATGACAGCCAAAGGTCCCCTGTGCACAGTGCTGGTAAAGGACAGGAGTCAGGGCAGGCAGGGCAGTGCTCTCCCCTGACTGGCTGCAGAGGAGAGGAAGGGAAGAAAAATTCAATGCTTTATCTCTTCATAACATGACCCAAGATTTTTGTCTTTCAGGAACACCTGTGCCGTGTTCCCTGCATCCCAAACGTGAAGCAGCAGTGGAGTATCAAGTCACCAAGAAGAGCTGCAGCTCATGTGCCACGGGAAAAGCATCCCCTGGCTCACAGGTTGTCACCCTGAAAAGAGCCAGACTATTCACGGACTAAAAGGTTTCACCATTGAGCAAAATGGTGATTTTTATAACCAATTTACTTATTACTATAGAAACATTTAAAATTATTAGCAAATATTCAAAGAAACAGAGAGAACAGTGAAAGCAGCACATCAGCTGGAGATCTTTGAAAAGCTTTACCAGGAACAGCCACTGCTGGCCACAGGTGAACTGGGGTGTGCTCCTGCAGTAAGTGCTGTGAAAGCCAACCTTCCCTGTGCCATCAGCCCTGGCTCAGCCAGGTGACAGAGAGCACAAGAATCCCTCCATGATGAAATAAGGGACAAAATCAGAGAAAAGCGTGGCTATATTATCAAGAGCTTCTAACAGGAAGACAGCAATAAAGCCATTCCTTGAGGCAAACTTAACAAGGAGATGTCTGGCTGCAGAAAGTTTGGGAATTATTTTGGGTATCAGCATACACAGAGAGGCCCCAAATGAAATCTTGGTTCTGCTGTGCTATGCCCTATAAACACAGAGAAAGCATTCTTGCCCCAACATGCTTATTTTGAGCACTCAAAAAACAAGATGCCGGTGACCCTGGTATTCCTGGAAGAGTTGCTGGCTGGTAAATAGCAATATTGTGACCTCACAAGCAACAAGAAAGAGAAATGCAAACAACCAAGAAGAACAGAGCAAAACAAAAATATTTCCATAAGCAGAACTTTTTATATCCCAAGAGATCTCTGCCTCCAGAGCTCAAAAGGGACACATTAACCTGAGTTATGTGACTCTCAGTGTCTTATAATCTTCAATAAATTTATTTGCTAGGAAGCTCTGCAAGAAAACAGAAAAAGTGAATTGGCTCAAATCCTACAAGAAAATTATTATGGAAGATACAATTGAACTGATGGCTGGGGTTTATCTGTGAACTTCAAAAATTCACTGCAACACTGTTCTCCTGCGCTCCTTTTGCATCCAAGGGGATCAGGTACTGTGAAAACAGAGGTCTAAGGAACCTTAAAACATAGAGCAGTCAGAAACGGGCAACATTTTTTTGCAAGGCATCACTGGCAAGCTCTCCTTATCGGTTTCTTCTAGACACCATCTATTTAATTCCAAAGTCAGAAACAAGAGGGAACACACCAGGGCCACACTGCTTGCACTAAGGAGCCAAGGAAGCAAAGGAGGAAGAAAAGATACTCCCATCCTAAGATTCCAGTGAACCATATAACAGAAAGAAATTTTGTTTTGTCTCATCTCCAAAAAACAGGAAGAGCATCACGAGGACAACTTGGGGTACATGAACCTGAGGATTTCAAGTGGAATGAGGAACAGGGTTGTGAAGCAGTTTGCCCAAATGGCTCCTCCACACCCTGCTTTGGTGCACGCTGGAGAGCTGTACCTGGATTCCTTTGGGTGAACCGAGCCAAAGGACCGGCTCCAGGAGCACGCCTGACGTGCTCCAGCCACAGAGGCGCTTTTGTTCCAAGACCTGCTCCAGGAGCAATGTTAGGTAGAAGCCCTGAAGTGTGCAGAACATGGACATCATGTGCTCAGCACCTCCTAGTTTTGCTCTTTGAAGAGTTTACTCGCTCCTGTTGACTCACCCTCAAAGATAGCTACGACTGCTGCAGCTCAATTAAGAGATAATATACTAGACATACAGCATAAAAAATAGGATATAATTAAGATATCAAAGGTTGAAAGGAAGCTGAGAATTGAAGTAGTGGTAGGGAAACAAAGCATATGTCTGCTATCTGTACAGCACTTTTACACTTGAAGAGAGTACAGGGTATGAGATAATTAAATAACCACTACAAACTTCCTCTCCTCTATCACAACTATCAACAGATTCTCAGGGAAAACAGTAAAGCAAAGCTTCCTAATAGCACCTCCATTCACAGAACTGAGCAGGTGCTTGGCAAAGATCAATTAATTAAGAGGTGAAATCTCAGTTTCCCTTATTAAATCTCAGAGCTGCTCCCCAACAAAACCCTCCCCTGCAGCAGATCCTACACACCAGCCCGTGGCACTGCTGTTTGATGGCTTTTATCATCGGCTTTGATGTATTTTTTCCCCGATGGCATTTACCTGTAAGCTGAGTAATCTGGCTGCAGAACAAAGTTCTGAGGAAACAGGAAAAAATGGGCAGCTCTGAAGCACCCACTAACTACCACGTCCCCTGAGGGTCTGTGCAATGGGAGGAAACAGAGCAGTGTGCTACAAACCTGTGGCTAAGGGCAGTCACGGCAAAGCTCTGCTTGGCTTAGAAGTACACACAGCCTCCGATTTCTATAACTGCATAAGACATTGGTAAGAAATGGCAGCTGATTACAGTTCTACAAAAAAATACAGAAGGGAAATGGGGAAAAAGCAAAGCCCAACCCATATTCCTTGTTAAAGTAGTTCTTACCACACGCTCCAGATGCTTTTGTAGCTACATTTCGGGGTAAGAAGAGACCATTAAACATCAGTTCACAAAGCAAATTTCATCTTATCTAGACTGCATGTCAATTTGTCCATCTGTAGTACCCTGGCTGAAGCAGGAGCTAAGAAAGGCATTCAGAGCTGCAAAATCCAAACCTCTGTACTGAGGAGGCAGAGCAGCCTGTGCCCTCTCATGATAAATGGCAACCAAGGACAGAACAGAAGTCTGAGAAAGACCATGAAAAACCCACTGCTGGCATGTGGCATAATTGCTCTACACAGTGCTCTTGTAATCTCCTAGAAAACAGAAACAAATAAATAAGGAGCAGTACCATCAGTCTCCAGAGTTCATGTCACTTTGGGATTAATATTGAGAATAGTTATAAATGCAGTAAAAATACTGAATTTTATTTGTTGCTACAACACAGCCTTCACACTGCATTTGGCTGTAAAGGTATATGGAAAGGGGAAATATTACAGTGATGTTTCTCTACAACCTGTTCAACTTATTTCCATTAGAACAGCAAAATTCATCTTAAGAGTAACAACGAGGTTACGTATGATGCTGTTTTCTTGAAAGCACACTCCCACTGAAATACATCAGTGTCAACACTTTCCAAAGAAATTAACTGAATTGGTATTTTTAGAAGCTAACCAGAAAGCCAAACCCCGGGGACACACATCTGCTTCAGCCCTGTGGCTCCCAGGCACCAATGTCACCGCCGATGTCGTTGCTTGCTGTGAGGCTCGGGCTGCAGCCCCGCTGCCGTATGCATGCGGATAGCTCGCTCACCAAAAATAAGTTTTTGTGTCACATCAAAACAAGCACCTGCCAGGGGCAAGCAGCTGCCACTGCCACCACTGCTCTGCAGTGCTCTCCCCACGTCCTTACTCACTGACCTTTCTACCACCATCCTGGCCTCCTTTTGTGTTTGTTGCCACAAATATCTCCTGCCTCCATCACAACACCAGTTTATGACTCCTTCGGGTACTTCCACTCAGTTTTCCAGCTTACTTCATCAAAATGGGTACTTTTATAAGCAGAAAAACTCACAGACCATAACAGGGTTTGTTATATATTCCACTCCCATTTAGATCCATCTGCTCTCCACCCTGGACTACAAGCACTGCAACAATCTCTCTGTGAGACAAAGACATAGCGCTGAAGAGACACAGCTTTGACAATCCTCAGCTCGTACAATCCTCCTGCACGTGCCTCTAAGTGCTGTTAGAAAGCAACCAGGAGTTTCATTTCAAAATGAACATTGTAGAAAAAAATGAAAATCAGACTCTTAACCAAGGGGAACTGAAGGATCCTTCCTCTTCTTCTCCAAAAGGCAAATTTGCCATTTCATCCCCAGATCCCTCGAGCTGCAGAAAGGAGTGCATCTGCCAGCTAACTGAGCCACCTGAGTAACTTTTTCCAGCCTAACTCCAAACTGCAACAACTTGCCATATCAAACTGCCAAATCTACAGTGCTCATTTCTTTCTGTGAATCCAGCTGTCATTTTTCCCAAATGCCTTCTCAGTCCCAACTCTCCTGATGCCAAAAAAACCTTTTCACAGATACACATAATTTTGCAAAACACATATGCTCTCTGTATGGCACATGAAGTCAATTAACAAGTTTACTTACTGAATTAAAGGATGACACACAACAGTAAAACAAAAACCTCTTACAGACAGCAAACACATGAACCTTCTCCTCCCTACAAGGCAACACTCTCAGAAGGAGCACTGAGTTTTAAAGCCTATGTTGACTACCACAGATGATCTTTCACGCTTATCTCCGTGGCATCTTTTATCCTGTAATTCCCCCGGTGTTTGTGATCGTCAGCACGCCCGAGTTAAATGTAAAACACCAGTCAGCAAGCACAGAGCAGGCACTGGGGCAACTCTGTTCCCTCACAAAAGAGAAGCAAGCACCAAATAAAAGCACGTACCTTTTAACTGGTCGGCTACCACGCTCTGACCGACACGCTCAACCACCTTTCCATCCTCCATTTCATAACGGTCATCCAAATATTTGGCAGTAGCTTCCGAAATATGGACCTTCCCAGCCACCCCAAGCTGCTCCATCAGATTGGCCAAATTGACATCATTGGACCACACATCGAACTTGAACCTCCTCATGCCTAAAATGCCACACAGGACTGTCCCTGTGTGAACACCGACTCTCATGTTCACCATTTCTTTCTTTTCCTGGCAGAACTGCTCGATGGCTTTGATCATCCCCAAGCCCATCTCGATGCAGCAGTAGGCATGATCTGCCCGGGGCTCAGGGCAGCCAGCCACACAGTAGTAACAGTCTCCCAAAGTGCTGATCTTCTCACATTTAGTGTCCTCACACAGACGGTCAAAGCGTCCAAAGAGGTCATTCAGGAGTCCCACCAGGGCGTGGGCTGATTTGTTGGCGCTCATTTTCGTGAAGCCAACAATATCTGCAAACAAAATGCTCACTTGCTCTATCTGCTGCATTTTAAAAGGACGGAATATTATGGGGGTTTTCTGTATGGAGGGCTTCTTCTTCCTGTTTTTGGGGCTTGAGGTGGAATGACGTTTGATGGAGTTTTCACTTTCATCATCCCCCTGCTTCATTAAGTCATCAGCTATTATTCTTGGCATAACAGAATGAATCATCCTCTCTTTCAGGGCTTTTTCCACTTCCAAGTCTTTTCCATGCATGATGGATTGCCCCACTTTCAGGAATGTGCTTCTTGATCTGACTTCGGACATGATAAATAAATGAATACCGATGGCATGGATGCAGATGTGCAGGAAGGCTTTACTCAACAGCTCCCAGTAAACCGCACCAGCTCCCAGAGGTGTGAAACAGTTCTCATCACGGAAGTGATAACCAAAAGTCTCGAAGAGGACCGAGTACGACAGTCCCAGAAACAAGCTTAAATACAGGGGTAAGTGCATCACTGTGTAAAGCAACAAGAGCACTTCAATACACATAGAAAAACTGCCCACTTGAGAAAGACAAGTGTCTGTGGGATCTGCCAGGGGAGTCCGGTTGGACATGTCACCACTTCCTGAGACAGGCTTCAGAGCCTGGAACTGCGGAGCCAGGGTCAGAGCAAACACCAGGAGGGTGAGTATCAGCGAAGTCCATACATAATGGCGGGCATAAGTCTTAGTGAAAGTGAACACAAAAAAAGCTACACATACCAGGAGGAAGCACAGAGCCGGCACCATGAAAACAATCTGTTTCTCTCTCATGTGTATGCCGAAGTAGATGCCCCAGAGCAGACAGGCCACGCCAATGTAGAAGAGGGCATAACGAAACCTGCGCTGGGTCTGCGGGAAGCATCTCTCCATGCAAGCCTCCTCCAGGTTGTTGGAGTCGAACTTGGGGTTCCACCACTTGGAAGAGGCCCTCTCGAAGAGCTGCGGCAGCTTCTTCGGCCGGCGGAGGCCGGAGCCACTGCCGCCCGCTCCGCCGGCTCGGCGGGCGCCCCCCGACTCCCCCGAGCTGCAGCTGGAGGAGATGCTGTACTTGCAGTGCTTGGAAGAGGTGCAGCCCTGGTGCTGCTTGGGGTTGATTTTCACCGTCACGCTGTTGCTGTCCCCGCTGGAGTCGCAGCTCACCTCGGTGCTGTGGTGATGCAGCAGCTGCTGGTGCGGTGGGGAAGCCATGTTGTCAATTCCTCCTCAAGAGCCCGCGCCGGACTTGGGTCTCTGGGGTTGCCAAAGCCACCGGGCTCCTCGCAGAGTCGCCTCTAGTCTCCTCCGGTCCCCGCCGCGTAGGGGCGGCCGGGCAGCGCCGCGGCGATCGGCCGCTCGCCGGGCTCCGCACACTGCGCGCCGGGGCAGCCCCGCATAGTCCCCTCGCCTGGGCCGAGCCGGGCCGGGGCTGCTGCCGCCGCCCGCCGCTGGCCCCGCTCCCCCGCAGCCCTCCCGAGGCGCGGGGCGGGCAGGCCGCTGGCTCAGCCCCGCGGGGGGGACGCCGGGCCCCCGCCGGGAGGGGACCGCTCCTCCATGTCGGCTGCAGCTGCCCGCCGCTTCCTCCCCGCACGGCTGCCGACGAGGGGCCGCCTCCCGCCCTCAGCCGCCCGCCCAGCCGGGACGGCAGCAGCAGCCGCTCTCCTCTGCTCCGCCCGCCCGCCCGTCTGAGGGGAGGAAGGGGAGCGCGGGGACGCGCTCAAGCGGCCGCCACCATCTTCCTCACGGCGCTGGGGGGGGTTCGGGGGGGCTGCGGGAGCGCGCCTCCGCTGGCCAATTGGGCGCGGCGGCGCGGCGGGAGCGCGCCCCCCCCTACACACAAACACACACTTCCCGCCTCAGCGTGAGGGTCGCGGGCAGGAGCGGGCACGGTCCCGTCCGAGGCGGATGGGTGCGATGCTGATGGCGCTCTCCGTGAGGCACGGACGGGACAGCCGGGGGTGGCGGGAGCCGGGCGGCACCTCAGTGGAGACAGTCCGCGGGGCCGAGCGCCGGGGTTCCCGGGCTGCCCCCGCCACCGCCCTCCCCACCAGCTGACATTTGCCATGCGCAGACAACACGCACTTCACCAAACAATTCGGCCCGAGCCCCGCTGCAAACTGGCTGGGTTATTTTTCTCCTCGTTCTCCGCTTGTTTATGGCTGACGCTATCTCGCCTGCACTGCTCCCTCGGTTTCATTATCTCTTCTCGCAGATGGACCGTGGCTTTCCTCCTTCACAGCGTTTTTCTCTCTGCTGGTGCTATAGCTCCCTCTCCTCTCCCCAGCTCTGCATCCCTCACCTTTGCTCACAGGTGATGTTCCCAAATCGGTCCCGCCTCATCCCTCTGAGCCCCTCAGCTCCAGCCCCAGTTCTTCCTGCTGACTTCTCCTTCCCTGAATCCTATTTACTTTTTTCCAGGTGAGCCTTCCCCAGCAAAGCACTTCACTCCAGCCGTCCTTCCTCCTGCAATCCTTTCTCCTCTGAAGACCACAGCATCCTGTAAAATAAAGCCAATGGCACTGGTGTATTAATAGTAAAATCGTGGCCAGCAGGACCAGGTCAGTGACTGCCCCTGTGCTGGGGCACCTCCAATTCCGGGGTAAGTTTTCAGCCCCTCAAGACAAGACAGACATTGAAGGGCTGGAAAGTATTCTGGGAAGGGGCTGGAGCACCATGAGGGGCTGAAGGAGCTGGGAAGGGGCTCAGCCTGGAGAAAAGGAGGTTCAGGGAGGACCTTGTGGCTCTGCACAACTCCTGACAGGAGGGGACAGCCGGATAAGGGTTGGGCTCTACTCCCAGGAGACAGGATGAGAGGGAACAGCCTCAAGGTGTGCCAAGACCAGATCAGATATTGGGAAAAATTCTTCACTGGAAAGGTGGTCAGACACTGGCACAAATCACCCATAGCAGTGGTGGAGTCACCATCCCTGGAAGTGTTCAGAAAGATAAGTAGACATGGTACTTCACAATATGGTTTAGTGGGCACAGTAGTTTTGGGTCAAAGGTTGGACTCAGTGACCTTGGAGGTCTTTTCCGGCCTTAATGGTCTATGACTCTCTATACTCTTTTTTAAAAATAGTAACAGAAAATCTGTGGCCATACAATTACTGAAATTGAAACCTGCCCTATTTTCCATTTCCTTTGTAAAGATGTCTTGTAGCCATGCTGTAACATATGTTTCTAGTATTATTATTTAGAAGAAATATGTATTTCCTGACATGCTCAAATATCAAAATAATCTCTAAAAATTCCAATCAATAGCAATAATTGTTCTGGTTTTGCTGTGACATAGTTGTCTCTTGAATTCCAGCTAATGGCTCAGCTGATCAATATTTTATATCAAGTGCTGCTTACCATGCAGCTCTTACATAAACACTGTTGGGAAGAGAGAAATCCCTGAGCTGACAGAGCAGAAAGGCAGGATGGCCTCCTGGGCTTGGCTATTAATTGATAAATTTACTAAAACTTCTTTCCAACCTTTTTATTGATTCATCTAAATATACTTTTAAGTTACATTTTTACTTCATACGGGGTGATGAATTTTTTTAATCTGCCGGATTAAAGAAGAGCAACAGTTTCCAAGGATTCAAAGGCAAGGTGAGAAAAGAAAAAAGTTTTTTACCTCATTGGCAGAGAATTTAAGGTAAAACTACCTGTGTTTTTAATTTTTTAATGCAAACATGTAAGATTTATATTGGGTGATTTGAACTTGGAGATTTAAGAGGTACTGAAATTCCAGCATAGATTTTTTGTCTTGTTCCCCTGGGCTCCATAAAGTGGTACTTTGTATGTTCTTAGAATAAACAGAATCACATCAAAGATACTGGCTACATCACAAGTTTTCACTGAGTGACCCACATGATACCAAATTTTGTCTGGCTACTGGTCAGAGACAGCTTTTGATCTCCACTAATAAAATAGTTCCTCTTTCCCAGCTTTTGTTTATGGGTTTGAAGGAGGGAGATAGTGTGGAAGGAGACGTCTGACTTGTCAAACCCTCCTTTGGTAAGCTTCACATGGGGGTGTCAAGGTGGTGCAGAATCCTTGCTCCCCCAAGGAGCTCCTGTTACACTTTTAACCTGTAGATTTCCATCCTGCTCCTCCACTTGATCTTTTGGGTGGAACAGCCACCCCACACTCACCAGCCCAACCACTCCCCACCTTCCCCTGTCATCATCAAGTTCAGTGGAAATCCTGCATGTGCAGTCAAGGAACAGTTCTGTTCAGTTTCATTAGCTCTGGCTGGGACAGATCTCGTACTGTCGCCTGAAACACTGAATGTTTCATTTCACTTTGCTTTTATTGTGTAAATTTTTCTCTGTTAAATTCAACTAGCAGGTTAAATACATGAAGCAGAAAACCACAAACACCAGTGATGCTTGGATTCATTTTAAGTGTGACTGAGATTTGTTTTAGAGAGCAAGAAGTGGTTTGAGGTTGTATTTGTTATTTCCTCACCACTACCACCTTCTGATTTGTTTTTATCCAGGACAGGTGTAACAGCCAGCGTGTCCCTCCAAGGCAGCACCTGAGTGGGTCATGTCTGTGACATTCTTTAAGGAAGATGCTTCCTCTGGATCACTTTCTTAGGGAGCCATTCTGGTAGAGCTGGGAGCCACCATGCAGTCTGGATCCAGAGTCCTGGGTTTATTCTGGATTTGATTTTGCTGGATCCCTGTGGAGAACTCTGACCACCCTTCCAAGATACTCTGTGACTGGTTTCTTTTCTCAGAGACTGAGTTAGAGGAAATATTTCACAGAGCAGTAGCTGGGCAAATGCAAATCCTCCTTGCAGAGTTCTTTTAACTTCAAGCCACTAAATACACATTTAGTCTATGGAACCGTATTTACTTCCCCTCTCAGGGGAACAAGTTTTGTCAGCTCTAATGATGAGCTGTTGTTTGACATTCATAATATTGTACTTCACTGCTTATCTGATGGAGCCACGCAAAGCTATTTAGGGGGTTCTGAAATGTGACAGCCCACATGATGCTTTTTTAGACTTCACAAACCGCCTTCACGAGGCAGAGAATACGGCATGGGAACGGCTGGCTGGAACAACGGTGTGCCTGAGTGCCAGCGGGGTTGCTGGAGCTGGGGAGGAGGAATGGTCTTTGAAAGTTTGCAGCTTTTGTTGTGTGCTGTCAAAGGAAGAACTTGCAGCCTGGAAGAACAGGCATCGTGGATGCCATAGGGTGGGAAGTGTGGAGTTTATTGATCCTGCCTGGAAACAGCATAAAGATGGAGGCAAATATGTTAAAACCTGTTTGGACCATCCACAAACAGAAGGGGGCTCAAGGGAGACAGCTCAGATACCCCATTTCATGCTGTCTTGCCTTAATAAGCAGAAAGATCTCACTTTCTAACAAATTTCTGTATCTTCATCCTTTCTGACATGCAGAGCATTTATTGCAAGCTTTGTTTTGAATTCTGGAAGCCTCCAGGTAAAATAAGTCATTTAGGAAAACCAAACCTCAACAAATCTTCTGGCTTCTTCTCACAGACTAACACGTAAACACTGGCAAATATTGTGAAAGACTGTTACTCCTTCATGGTTTTAAAAATTATAAAGTATCACAATGTTTATTTCATTTTTTCCATAGCAAAAGAGCACAAGGGTTACCTTTGACATCTGTTCCATATGAACCCATGGAAGCTGAGTAAATGGGTGGTGCATTCTCACTTCCTTGCAGTGGCCAAGTTGGTTTTGTGTTCTATATTTTCATCCTTCTGAAATTGCTATTCATTTTTTTCATATCACTGAGAGGATTTCATATCCCAGATGAGATGAACAGATTAAATAAGCAAGTAAGCAGTAGAAGATGTTTTTTTGTGACTCAAGAGAAAGAATAAATTCCAGTCTGGATGAGTAGAAATCTCTGACTCCCCTGAGACCAGGATTTTTCTTGCAGGCTTTATGGTTGTCTAATTGGAGTGGTCTTTTTGCCAAAAGCAATGCAGAATATTCCACTTACCTGACAAAATGTCTGCCACCAGGAGGTAGCTTCACTCAGTTATACATTTCTTTAAGATGAAGACAAACTTAAATTTATTGCTCATTTCATTCATAACCAGAAGTTCTCCTCACTTGCCAAACTGCTGAATCAGCTTGGGTACCTCAGCCTTGAGTCAGCACAGCCCAAAATAGAAACTTGCTCCATTTCCGAAGAGAGGAAGTACCACTGTTGTCTGCAAATACAACCACATCTGACTTGCTTTTATAGCTACAAACACTCATGCAGGGACTTGCATGGCACTCTGCTGCTTTAAAAAAAAAAAAAAAAAAAAAAAAAAAGGAAGTCAAAAGGCACTTTCTTATTTAAAATAGGAGTGTTAGGGTTGCTATGAGTGGGACTGTGTGGATGTGGAAGTGCCAAGGAATAACGAGCAAGAGAAGGACTTTACAAGTGGCAGTCATTGATGTTACCTAGCCTAGCCCAGCATCAAGCTCCCACTCCACCTGCTTGTAGTTTCTCAGGATGTACTCAGGAATTAGGCAGACAATGAACAGGCTATAACCAAACTGAAGCAAAGTTTTAAGCCATTAGGAAATAATGGCAAGAAAACACAGTAGAAGCTCTAAAACACTGACTGGAGATCAGCTACAGCATTCCCAAGGTAGAGCTGAGTCAGTCCTGCTGCCATAAGGTAACTCCACTTTATAGCACAGCATAAAACAGCAAAAAACCTGGGGAAATGACCAAGAGCTGCAGTCAAATACTGGGAAGTGACACTAAAGTCATCAGCAGGACTTCATGAGTAGGTGGAAGGCAGTGGAAAGGCACATAATGTGATACAAATGAGGGAGGATTTTCTGTGGCTCAAAGTCAGGATTAGAAGTAGAAGAATGAGAATAATATGAATTTGCTCAATCTGCCCTTTTCAAGCTCTGCAGTTTTTTCTCTTGCAAATGAGCATCTGTGGTATTTGGCATCCTACAAAAGGACCCCCCATTGACAAGCAGCACTGGGGTGCCCCTTCCCATGGGTGCTCCTGGTTTTCCTTTCCTGTATACCACAGGATGGTGTCATGTTCTTCCTGGTCCAAGCAAACTACTGTTTCTGGTGCCTCCATTTAATGTGTCTGAACTGGCTCTATTTTCCACAAGGAAAGGCCATTCCAATGGGCAGACAAAAATCAGTAACCACTTTCAAATCATGGCCAGACAAGTTGTGATCCTTGGCATAGGATTTTCCTGCAGTACTATGGAGGAAGCTGTAGATATTTGAAAAAATTGCCATTTCTGCAACAGGTGTGAAGGTTGCAACACACAATTTTACCATTTTGGGATTTTTGCAACAATGCAGTTGCAAATTGAAGCATGTTTTATATGTAGTGTTTTGGATTATTCAGTTGAAAGAGGTGGGGATGAGGATTTACAGGTGTAATTACAGGATTGTGCAGTCACCTTGTGCACACACTGCAGGTTTGGAAGGAAGATCTGCTGCAAATCCACAGAAAACCCCAGCTAAGGAATTGCATGTGCCACAAGCAATTACACAGCGTAAAACTTTGTGAAACATTTGCTATGTGTGCACTAGGCCCTTTTTAAATTTAGATTTCTAGGAAGAAGAGAATTGCTGGGGCATTTCTGTGACCTGATCCCTCGTCTTGGTTGATCCGCGGTGGAAAGGTGACCCCGGGCACGGCTGAGGGGGAATGGATCTGGTGAGAGCCATCGCTGTCTGAGCCAAGCAGAGTGTTCCCAACTGCATCCCTGAATAGATTCACTTGCTCTTTCCCTGGCTCTATTTTAGCCACAAATCTGTTATTCTGCCCTGTGGGTGCCAACAGGTTTTAAAAAATAACCAAACTCAGTAATACTGGATTTCTGGTGCACTTTTTTTTCCCCAAAAGGGTTGAAGTGAACATTCTTCTCACCTATACCTAGGACCTCACCTGTGTGGCTGCAAAGGCTTCACCTCTGGTGACATCCAAAAAGGTACATGATTCTTGCTCCTTCAGTGGAGCAGATATATCTCAGCAACTTAGCAATGTTGTGATAAGTATGAAGTGGAAGGCATTGAAAAACTATTATATCAATTTTTAGTTTGTATTTAAGACCATTTCTACACACTTTTGTGTTCTCAAGCTTGGAAAAAGTTCACTTTTGTCTACAAACACAGGAACCAGTTGTTACTTCAAAATTTTGTTGTGATGGTAGGATTGAGACTTGGATGAAACAAGGATTCATACAGGGAAATTTATAGAATCAAACAATCATGGAATGATTTGGGTTGGAAGGGACTTTAAAGATCATTTACTTCCAAACCCCTGCTGTGGCAGGGACACGTTCCACTAGACCAGGTTGAATGTGAAAGCAAACAGCTTCCAAAAACTCATGTTTAAAACTGAGTATGAATGCATGTTTGTGCCATGTGCTTTGTTCTGTTTCCAAAGGAAACAAAAGAAGAAAATGTTGCTGAGAATACTAAAACATAACACTTTGGCAGCAGTGGTTATCACATCCTCCAGGCATTTTTACCTGTGGTGTTGCCCTGACAATTGTGGTGCATTGTGGAAATAAAATGTGAAGTCACTCAGGACTGGTTGTGGATGAGGCATGTACATAAATACCTTTTGACAGAGGTAAGAGGGAATGCTTGTTTCTACAGGGGAAAGGGAATAGTGGTTCTGAGAACTGAAAACACAGCAAATGTTTGTTAAAAGTGGAGCTGGGGAGCAGGACAAGGTGGCACATAGAACCCAGTGAAAGGTCACAGAGGGAGAAATGCTACAATCCAGCATTTATTGGCTAAATGTAACCAGGATTTAGGAATGGGACCCTAATCCTTTTATAAACCAGGAATCTCTTTGAGTTGGGTGAATGGGACAACCAACAGCCACCATCAACTAATAAAAATCACACCCCCGTGCTTTGTGGCACACATTAAACTCAGTGGAAGAGTCAGGGAAAATCCCATGGCAGGCTGTCCAGCAAATTCCCACCAAAGGTTACCTCCAGGCTGCAGCTTCCATAAGCTCTGAATGATTTGTACCTGTGAGAACTGCTCAGAGGTTGCTTGGTAGATTCAGAGGGATGAGTTATTCACCAAAGGGAACCTGGTAAAGATGGTGCTACTATGTGTGATCTCATGCCTAAAACTGTCCCACATCTTGTCTGTTTATTTGGGAAATTAATTTCTAGAACACTTGGAAAACAAAACCAGGAATTGAAATTGCCTCTCAATATTTCTTCAGTCCAAACAAAAAAATAAACAAGAAACCAAAACAAAAAACAACCAAACAAACAAGGTCATTGTGTGTCTTACATGTACAGTCAAAACATCTGTTATTAATGTTAAATTCCTGTGTACCTGGAGAACCTGTTACTGAATAAGCTACAAAGCTGAAGCCTGGCTGAAAATTAAAGTAAGGTATCCCACCATCTGAAGGATTTTCTATACTTCTGCAGTGATTTTGGGAGGCAGAGACATGGGACCAGAGAAAGAGAAAAGGTTCCAGCCATGCACCAGGGAAGTGCAGATTAATTGTTCCAAGTGGCTTTTTCCTGTCTGTTCATTTATCCTCTTTTACCATCCTTGTTTCCATTCTTTCCTCAGCTTTATCTCTGTTGAAGAGCAGAGAAAATATTCTATTCCCCTTTCACAGTGCAACACATATTCATTAAGTCTCATTCTATTATAGCTCAACTATTGCCATGTTTGATTCTTTATTTGGACCATTTCAGCTCTTAATGAAGAATTTGCCCTTCATCTGCATCTCTTGCTACCTTTTCTGATTGTGATCAGTTCACAGTCAAGTCCCATGGACTGCTTTAGAGACACTTTGAGTGACGTGTTTGGATTTTTATCCAGTTTTCCTTTCTGCCCTGTCTCACCCCTCCACCTGCACTGCTCAGAGCAGGAGGCACCAAGTCCATCACTTTGCTACAGCCTCAAATACCTTCTTCCAAGCCAGAAATGTGGGCAGGGCTCTTGGAGAGATTATCATCTTCCTAACCTCAAAGCAGCCCACAGCCCACCTCTGTCCCTAGATGAGCAGTTGTGCTTCTCTAACCATAGAAACTGCAGCAGCACAGAGTCGCTGCCTTCATTTTTCCCCAAAAAGGCAACACAGCAGTGACAGCTTAGTGGGAGGTCATTTCTTTCTCCAGCAGAACAGAGCTTCAGGTGGCCACTGCCTGGAGCCCACCACCACTGTGCTGCTCAGTGTCCTAGGAGAGGATGCAGATGTAGAATTTTGGGCTGAGGTCTTCTTTAAATTATATATTAGGCTGAAAAATGAACCCACAGGAATGAAGGATGCTCCCAGTGCCTGTGGGTGCTGCAGCAGTGTGGAGCTGACAGCAGGGATGGTCTGGGCTGCTCCATCCTCCTCCTGCATCTAAAGGCAAAGACATGGCAAACACTATGGACTGAAAAAAGACCCTTTTATCAGTTTCAAATCTTACAGAAAATAAAGAGATAGAGGGCTGAAGAAACCTCTTAGGCTAGAAATGTATTCAATGTTTCTGCAGAATAGGGAGAGCACAAAGCTTCACTTACCAAAAGCAGCCAAATCTACAGGACTGTGGAGTTGGAAGACTTTTATATCTTGCAAGTAATAACTGTCTTTAATTAGCTTTGTTTACATGATAGATGTCAATGTCAAGCTCTCTCTGTGAAAAGGGCAGAATGTCCTTAGTGGGAAATGTGATTTTTGAAGCCTGACAACATAAAACCAGCGGGAAGGTTTGTGCTCAGACTGCTGGGGAGAAAAATCACCTTTGGCTCAACAAAACAGGAAGGATTTCAAGCCCACAGCAGAAGTTTTTCAAGAAACTAATGAAAATGGAGGATTATAGTTTAAATTGTTTTGCAATCGCTGGCCTCAATCCTGGAGACACTTTTCACACACACTCAACTTTATATCTGTGGTTGGTTTTGCTGACCCTCATGGGATTTTTGACACCTGGAGATAGAAGTGAAGGCCAGACTGTTTACAGAGCAGAGTTTAAACTATGGCATTTTAATAATAATAAAAAAAAAAGATATTATATCAAGGTCTTCATAATTTACTCATTGGGATCCTTTATGTTTGAAAAAAAAACCCTGAGAAATTCAGGAATTCATGAGGTGGTCTCAGATCTGTGCCCTTGTGTGAATAGGACCTTTTGTTATGCTCGATCACAGCACTAGGCCATAAAACTTACTCAGCAAATATTGAAAAAAATATTCATAAAATATTCACCTTCATAAAATTTGCATCTATGGTTCACATGCAAATACTGTCTGCATTTCTTTCCTCTCTAAAAAAATTATGTTTGACCACTACCTGAGACTGAAAGGTTTCCCCTCATCAATAGAGAGCAACTAATTGGGAAAAACCCTGGTTTATACATTTTTTTTAATTTTGATTTTTTTTTTCTTTTATATCTTAGCAGTATATTGTACCTGCCATGAAACAACTTTTTGAAACCCTGGAAACAGGAATAAATCCCCTCTGCAAGCTCTGGTTCCACCATTTATCAGGCTGTTGGTGCAGGAGCCAAACTGCCATTGGGCTGACTCACATTTTGGCATTTTGTGTTTATGTACGTGATGACGACGTTTGCAAGCAACAGGGGAAAAACCCTGTGTTCATCAGCACCATGATCCCAGCAAAACCTTTCCCTCCTCAGCTGCATCAGCAGAGCTCAGGGATGTGGCCAGAGCCACAGGCTGGTGTGGGCACTGCTGTCACTGCTCTTTGCCACTCAGCACCCATAATCCTCACGTTGCACCCCAGACCTCCAGCTGGCCAGGCCCTACAGCTGCCAGAGCCCCAGACCTACCCAAATTTAGGCACACCTGGTGCCCCTTTGCCCTGCCCATCTATCCTGACCCTCTGTGATTCTGCCAGCATCCTTTGTGGCTCTGGAAAGCCAGCTTTGGCACTCAGGACACCTTTCACATGATCTTTATCCCTCCAGGTCCAAAATTTTCAATGTAGTATTCCTGGCACTGGTATTGTCCTTGACACCGGGTTTATTTTTATCTTGCTGCCTCTTTTTATCTCCAGCTCCCTTGCCCCTATGTCTTATCTTGGTTTTTTGCCTTTTCCCAGGCTTTAAGGACCTAATGGGGACTCTGCCCACACAATGACCTGGCAGACTTGGCTGTATGTGGCTGTCACTCTCACCCACCTCTCCTGGCATTCCCTAAACTTTAACCACAACTTCTGGCTGCATCACAGTCCTGTTGTCACTGGGGAGAGGCAGAAGAGGTTGTCCCTTCAGGCCCTGCCACCACAGTTCCTCTCGGTGTCCTCTGGCTCGGGCTGACCCATCACCACCTGCCCCACATCCCACCTCTGACATCCTGCCTCATCCTTTTCCGGGTGAAGAACCACAGCTGGAGTAAAATGGGGACAGTGCCATGGGAAAACCCTGTCCTGGGAAGCAATAACCCCCCAGCCTGTTCAGCTTTGCCATGATTGTGCTCGTTGGCACAGCTCTGCCACAAAGCTCCGGCTGTGCCAGGACCTGCAGGGTTGGAGGCTGGGCTGGCTCTCCTGGAGCATTTGGCTGAGTCTGTCACCATTTACCTTAGCAGGAGCAGCTCTCAGCTGCTGAAAACCCCATCCAGATCTGCTGCAAAGTGGAAATAATTTGTTAAATGCTTCACACTGGGGCAGTAGCACCCCTTCCTCTTGCCGAAGCATTTGGATTTCTGCCCGCAGAGAGGACCAAAGAGAGCATCAGGATCCAACTAGGTGAGCAGATATTCAGAGCACAGCCTTGATTTTGGCTGGGGCTGGGGCTGCAGCTGCAGCTGACATGAACTTTCCACTGGTGGCAGTGGGTCAGAGGCAGCTGGGGCTCCTTTCCTTCCCCCTCTAGCCCTTGCCTTTGGGAGCTGTGGGCAGGATTAAGGAGAAAAAGCAATGTATGGGTCATGGGAAGAGGGAAAACAGAAGCAGCTCGGCCAGCCGAAGAGGAAACAGGGGACACAGATGTCTGTGGAAAGCTGAAGCCACTTACAGAGGATGCATTTACTTGTATTTCCTTCCAGTAGAGCTTAATTGCAATGTTTTTTAATGACAGGTAGGATGGGAGCTGGGCTTCTGCCTAAGCACTTCTGCGTCCTGCATAAAAGTGCTGAATTTAATATTAACAACAATTAATCACAGATACCAGGAAACTGCCAGCAACATTCCCTGCCCTGGGAGTGCTCGGTTTGCATGCTCAGCCCCACAAACTCCCATCCCCAGGCCAATGGCACTGGGAAGTCACAAGGAAGCAAGGGCCTTCTCTGTGCTGCTGAATTTTGATCTGGAACTGGAGTGGTGATGACACCAGCACCTCCTTCCCATTCCTACCAACAGCCTTTGATGGGAACACAGGTGGTTTTGGACATCTCTTGTTTCTCCCATCCACATTCCCTTTTCCCTCCCTCTGCCCCAAAAGGCTACTGGGATAATTCCAGATCAGAGCAGTCTGTGTGGGTTAGGGTGGATTGCAGGTTTGCCAGGGTGCTGATGGATTTCTCCTGTTGTTAATACCATGACTCGCTCTCTCATTAGCAGCTCATTGCAAGTTTTGCACAGGTACATGAGTATTTTG